TTGTGCAGCTGTTATGGATGTCTCCCTCCTCGCAGCTGCCAAGGCTCATGTAGGAACAACCACACACATCTGTTCTTGGTGTAGTTCATCAGGGACCCCACTGCTGTTAGTCCTGAGGTGCTCTTGATGCTCGAGTGCTTTTTCTTTGAATTAAAAGAAGTTTGCAGTAAAAGACATTTAAACAAAAATATAACAAACAAATATTAACCAGCCTGTGTGGCTTTTAACAATACCAAATATTATCCAACTAGAATACAACCACAATGGTTTTATCCAAGTGTTGCACTCTAGAAACAAACAAAGCAATCATGCTTATTTCTCTTTGCAGTTTATTTTGCATTTGCAGTCAGTGTATTCCAGACAGATAAAAGGAGGGAAATATCTGTTTATCTTGAAGCTGTTTCAGTTACCCTCTCACTTTTCCTCAAATTTATTTTCCTCTGCCATGAAATGTTCTTTTAGTTTCTCCTCACATAAAAACATTAAACAAATATTCTCTGTTATGTATTGCATTTGTATTACACAGAAACTTACAGTTAAGTTGTACTGTGTTTCTCTGGAGTGTCACAGGTGTTGGTTCACATGGCTGCATCATCTTAATAATATCAAGCCAGAAGTGGCAAGATGACGACCTGAGAAGCTATTTTCTGGGGGGGATTGCATCGCAGGTGTAGTTGGTAGACCCACTCCTAGTCCATAATGCACTGGCGGATGGGGGTTGCGATGGGCCCCGAGTGTGTGCTATTATGACGGGCCCTATAGTTACTTACTGTCTTGAGCCGATGAGCTTGTCAGTCTTGACAGATTATGCGCCTAAACTACAGCTACCTTATATATTATTGTCTAATCACATGATCAACTTGACATTGGACAATATCAACATAACTTTTATCCAGCAATCATCATTGCATATCTGTACATATCAAAAATACCAAAGAAAATAAGAAATTATTAATTTCATTGAAATTACTTTCTTTTTTAAAAAAGTTAATTTATAGTTTTTTTAGTTAATGTAGAATAAACAGTATGTACTTTTGATATATATTGTAAATTAGTTTTTTCCCCAAAAACTGAAAACCTTGATGGAGATGGGTTTGCCTTTTGAGGGCAAGTGTAGCAAATTAATTGGCACCATTATGAATTTGTTACAGTTCTTCTTTGAACACAGCCGTGTTCCTGAGATAGCAAGGTAAATTGTTCACATCGGCCTTCTCTGTCTATGGGCCCCCTCATCCCACAGGCCCCGGTGCAACCACACGGCCTGCACTGGCCATATTTACACTTTGACTTGACCTCTGTAAGTATTCATTCATTGCAGACTTTATTTCCCCCCCCAGAGATTAGTAGTTGTGTGACAATCAATCAAGAGCAGCCAGGTCTCTCACTTCCACTAATGGAATATTGACAAATGATGACATTTGAAATGAGTGATGGATGCCCCAAAATGTACTAAATCTATAGACCCACTTGTTAACTGTCTGGCACATTGAGTGTCAAACCCTTCAAGTCAAACATTCGTCACAAGGAGGGAAATGTCAGATTGACGGGGTGATTGTTGTGGGTTAGAGCCCACAAATAATCCATTTCCTAAAGCTGTGATGTTCTATAGAGTTTCCTGTATAAGAATGGATCATAATGTGTATATTATTGTACCCAAAAAGTCACCACCTTTGTCAGTCTGCTGCTTGGTGGTAAGCCGCTAGAGTGCAGTGGGTTTTGAGAGCTTTTTGTTGTTGCTGAAAACAAAACGGGGTTAATAAGAGCAGTGAGACTGAGCTGTGCAGTACATTTACAGGCTGAGTGGAGCTTTAAAGCCTACACAAATGACTTTCAGTATATGGCTGACATACTGTATATACTGTAGCTGCCTAAATACCTGTTCTCCTGATGTGTTGTCATCACTGTGTACACCACTAAAATAGTAAATAGTAATGAAACATGCAGCATAAACAGACAGAGCTGAGCGTTACCAGACTGAAAAAAACATTCTGGTTCAGCAGAGCTAACGCCAGATTAGCCTGTTTAGCGATACTGTCCTCTAGCATTCAGGACTCCATATCTCTTTCTCTATATTCTGTTCTACAAATCCAACCTCCATTTCCTCCTCCTCCTCCTCATCCCTTTATTGTCAATGACTAGAGTTTTAATGATTACATCTGGCGGTGCCACAAATTAATTCCTGCCTCTCTGGCAAAAAGCTGTTCTCCACCTGATTATGCAAAGCAGGCCTACATTCTCCCCCTTTGAAGTAGAGGAGAAGCTGCTTAGAGACTCTCCCCTTGAGGAAACACTGCAATATGGGGAACATCAACAAACCGGAGTTCACACAAAGGTCAGCAACATGGTTAACCTCGATGAAGGCCCACTTCATCTCCACATCTCGCTACTTTAAAGCTGTGTTAAAGTCCTGGTGGTGTAATGATGCCCTCGTGTCAGAGACCGAAGCTACTTCGACACACGGAAGTGGAGATAAAGTAGGACAGCCAAACAAAATACAGTAGCCATAGAAATGCACTAGAAAATGCTTGTGTCTATGGCCATGGCGGTAGAAACCGGTGCAAGGCACCTTTCCTATTCCAGCAATCACATCCGAGACAGGGTCTCAAAGGCTGGCTTGCTCACCAACACCAGCCTTATGTATCTGGGAAGACATAATAAGGGCTTATACCTCGCACAACTGCCTTTGCAACAGCATGCCTTTGTCAGTCTGTGACACTCAAAAGGGTAATGTATGAATTCTTGTGTGTTATAGTCGACCGCTGTTTTCAAAACACCTTTCTGCTTCTGGTCTGAGCAATCACAGCCCGGTAAAAAGCTACAGCACTGCGATGAAATAGTCTAGGTTTCGCTCGAGCCTGACACAAGAAGAGTCCACCCGGGTAATGAGCCACTGAGATGAAATCACTCTGACGGGAGGTATGACGACAGATGAGACTGCTGCTAGTGAGACTTGAAGCATGTGTTAATTCAGAGTAGGACAATGCAGGAGGTAATAACAGGGATGAAGGAAGAGACTCTGTGTTAATGATACCATTACTGCTCTTCCTGGTTATTAAACTAATCTTCCCGACATGAAACGTTCAGCCTCCTGTCGAGTATGCGTTATGTAATGTCCATGTGTTGACATTTGCAATAGTGTTATGGCACTTGGATGTTTAAAAACAAACACAAGCCAATAAACATTCATCATAAGTGTTCAGAGAGACACTTTTAAAAGATTTAATGGCGACTCAATTTAAGATGCAATCAACATTTTATGAATGCAACCTGATTTAGTGACAAGGCTTGGAAGAAGGAGATTCACAGTCTTTTAATGTCATCTCTTGTTTTCTTACTAGAAACTTAAACTTACACCATAAGCACTCACTCCTAATAGAAAACACTGAATTCATTTTGAATATTACAATCTCACATCGGCTTATAGAATGATCAATTATATTATACAACGTGGACACAGTTATTAATGTGAAGCACTCAAAAAACATGTTTGGTCGATTTCATCTAATTGTACATCTGCAGTGTCAGTAGTTTCCACAGAAGCCATCAACAATAAATCATCATACCTGCAAACTCTGAAACCCGAAACCCTGTCGTGTGTGTGTGTGTTGAGGGGGGGGACGGGACATGAGCTTTCAAAGCAGTCTGAATAAGTGAGTTTATTATTCAGTTATTAATCAGTATTTCAGCTCTATTGTTATTAACCTTTATTTAGACAAAATCCATTGAGACCGAGGTCTCATTTTCAAAAGTTTTAGTCATAAAAACAAAGATAGCAAGAGTAGCGAGAACCATCGCCTGTACAAAATAAAGTGATTAGTTTTCATCGAACCCTGTTACTGTAAAGCTGTTAGAATTGTGGCCTATCTTCTATTTGCAATTAATATGCATTCAATCCAGTTAAATTAAAATGATAATCTACTCTGGCTAAAGTATCTTATCAAGAGTAAAATAATAGCTGTGATCTATACACACCTCTGCATTAGCAACCTGCTGAAATGAAGGTACAGCCACCTTAACACTCTCTCTGGTCCGTGTTGTAACGGTAAAACGGACTTTCAAAACGTACACGGACCCTCTTCTTCCTTAAACTCTTTGACCTCATCATCTCATCAGTATCCGGGCCTCATTTTTCATGTTCATAAAAGTTATCACCACGAAATCGCCTCATTCTACTTTTGAGTTAAAAAAAGAACCTGCAACCATCCACCTGTGTTCCGGTTTAACGTTAATGAGTGACTGCATGAACTGAACACGGGGAGCGGTCACTTGGCAACTCGAATTTTCAGCTCCCTCCACTGATTTTGTATGGGACTAAGGTCCGGAGTCTGGCTAGGCTTCTGTGTTAGTGGGCACTTACAAAATCAGCAAGGGGTCAAATAATGATAACCTTTACTGTATGTAACATATAGAGCACAAGTAACTAAAAGCATTTGGAAGCTACTTATAATAATATACTATTATAATACAATCATTTCTATAACTCTGACAGCCAGAGCTGCACTTCTCAGCGGGAGGCTTTCTTTCATAAAACTGTTAATCATGAAAGGCCAGGCCAGAAATGGAACACTCTCAATACGTCCTACTGTGCAAATGACTGCTTGCAGGCTTTCTGATAATTAACGTTACTTTTTTTTCCCTAAATTGCGATAACGAAAGTTAACAGTCGACAAAGTTTTGCATGCAGTGTACGTTATCCTTAACCCAGCAGGTCTGACCTGTAACGGTACAGAACGTAACTCAAACTTTAACGGAGGGAAATGAAGACGCTGTAGACATCTGAACGCTGATTGGCCAAGACTCGACACGTCAACGATGTTCTATTGCGAAGATCACGACATCACCTTTTCTCCTCGTCTCACTCCAATCTGAGAAACGCTGGCTGGCTAGTTGACCCCCCCCAAAAAAAAAATCTCTACGGATCTCCACGATTCACGTGGATGATATATTTTGATTCAAAACGGTGAATTTCGCCGAAAAGCGACAAGTTTGCAGGTATGAATCATAATCATAAATCATAATAAATAAAAAGAGGGTGGACTGCAAAAGCTAAAAGAAAACAATTAAACCTGCAATTACTGATTGTTTCGGCCATTTGGGGGCAGCAGAAAAAGCTGTGAACACAAGATCTCCATATCAAATTAGTATGTTTGTCAGTTTGTGTGATTGAGTTACAAACCAGTTCCAGGAGGTACTTTAAACCTACTGGTAACAAAAGTCACACAAAGGAAATGTGTGTTTAGCCATTTGATTCCACATATCTTTTCTGCACAGGAGGTTGCACACTATTTCCTTCTTCTAATCCGAGACAAAAACATGGGTCCCCAGGTCTTGCCCGGCTGAGGAATGACTAAAATGCCGAGTCTGTGGTGATGAGAGGACGAGGGGCCATCCTGTGGCTGCAGGGAAGGCTTGTGAGGCATCTGTCCATGACCAGGGTGAGCGCTCCTAAATGTAAAGTATTTTGATAAAGGAATGCCAATCTCCTCCCACAGGTCTTCGGGTTCAGCCTCAGGACAGTCATTCAGCACTGTCTCAACCACGGCAAAGTTCTCAAAGCTGGACAGAGTGCAGGTTGAATAGACCACAACACCCCCTGGACGCACGGCTGACAGCGCAGACCTGTAAACAGTAGACAAATACTGCACTTGATGACAACGGAATTCAAAAGAGAACTCCGCCTATTTTACACATCAAAGTCTCCTTTCTGGACTTGATGACTTTTTGTGGGAGCTGTGCAGAGTCTGATAAACTACCTCGAGGGATGTCACTTGAGTCAACGTCAGTATGTGAAAACTATAAGTTTGATAATGAAAAAAAAAAAAACTGGTGATATGATCAGACCTCTGTAGTCTGCTCCTGATCTCTGGTTGAGGCTGGCGGCTCGAGGCTACATTAATCCCGAATGACTTTACACATCCAAATATCTTACTAAACTGTAGAGTTGCATTGTGGGTAATGAAGGCGTCAGGTTTTGAAAAGGAAGAAGTGAGAAGAATGCGTGGAACTAAAAAAAAAAAAAGAAGATAACTCCAGTTCTGTACTCTTCTGAGAATCTCAATTAACATTTCAAAATATTCTACAAAGCTGGCTAAAATTAAGTTGCAACCCTCAATAGACTGTATATGTCAAGTTTCTCCTCCCACAGCAAATCATTTCAATATCTTTTGACTAATATATTTGCAATTTGACCACATACGCATCAGCCTCCAGGGAACTCTTGTTTTCCATTGCTTGGACATTCATATGTTAAAGTACTGAATTGACACTGCAAACCATTCCCTGCAACCTGATGTAATTTCACTCTACAGCACTGTGTGTAATAACATTTTCTAAATAGTGTTTACTTTGTGTGCAACTGTACAGTGCATGGAAATGATTCACAACTGCTTATCTGAACTAAAACAATGTTATATTTCAGTCCACCCTCAGACATTAACGTTAATATCCTATATTCTAAGTAACAATGTGTAGGGAGATAGAAGGGTGCCACAACGGTAACACAATAGCAGACACTTTTCTATGTTGGGGATTGGACTTACCTAAGCAGTTGAGCCTGGAGTGCGGGCAGACTGGCCCTTTCCTTCAGTCTCTGTTCCCCCTGCTGACTGCCACAATACAACCAGCTCCTGTCATTAGAACATGGAGCATCGACTAAAACCTGCAACACATAGAGGAAGAAATGTGAGACAGTTCAGAGTCGGAGAGCTCAACAGCGCAATGGCAGCGAGAGACAGAAAGGATCAAAGGAGAAAAGCAAAAGGCAAGTAGTAAGAAAATGTAACCTTTTCATTCTGTGCCTTCCTTTTTTTTCCAATATATTTAAGTCCATTATCAGTCACTTTGAGTCCTTTGAACTTCCGGCCATTTGTCTGCCTCTTCATGACTCATATTTTTATTGAACACTTTTCTTCTCTTCCACTGGGCTTATTAGCTTCTATTCAAAGGCTTGCTGTTCTCATTCATTTCTAACCACCTCCATGTGTTGAACACTGAAGCAAAAATCAGCTGCATGCTGACATAAACATGACCCTCACTGGGCCCCACCTTGTCATATGTTCCTGCCTCACTGTTCACAAAAGATCGTCCATCCTGTGCAGACACAATCACTCTGCTGGTGAGCGACTGTGACAAGAAAGACTCAAGGGTTTTGGCCAGCCAGTCTCGTCTGTGAGGGTCTGGTTCATTGCAGCAGAGAAGTGCTGGAACACAAGCAAGGCAGCATTACTTGTAAACTGTAATCAAGACAAATAGGCTATTCACAGCAGGCAAAAATGATATTTAGATTCAACTGCGGCAACTTACATGCAAAGTACACAATATATATCTAAGAGCAAAGCTTAACAAACTTCAAAAAGATGTTTTAGCAAAAAGCTCTTGTTGCCAAACAATTATACACTCAGAAGTGTATAATTTAGATTAACTTTATTTTATCTTCAACTGTACTAAATCAACTTTCTTATACCTCTTTGTATGATGAAAACAAAATAAAATAAAAGTTTGCAAAGTCCTGTTAAAGTGCTCGTGTTACCTGGGGTGGCACATTGCATTATGGCTACGGCTTTGCCCCCAGGGGCAGAGCAAAGATCCAAAACCTTCTCCCCGTCTCTGACTTTCAAAGCCAGCACTGGCAGCAGGGAGGCAGCATTCAGGAGGTAGTACTGCTTCAGCTGGCCAGGCCGGTGAGCCTGAGAGGGAAACCGCAGTGGACATGGATGGATGTAACACTGTAGTGTAGGACGGGACGAACTGAGCGAAGGCTCTGATTGAAGGTCTTGACCGAGCGCACGAGAGGTGCCGTCAGGTTGGAGGTGGGACTCATTAGGAGGGCACTTGGAGATGTGGTCAGGTGACAACAGAGAGTCTTTTCCTGCTTGGTATTTTGAATGTGACGGTGTTGAGGGGCCGTTACAAAGCAACATGGAAAAGCCCTGTGATTGTAGGATCTGCGTGATGCCGGTCACAGTGCTGAAGCGGTTCAGCATGACCCCATACTGCCAAGAGCGAGGGTCCAGGAGCACTGCTCTGCAAGAGAAAAGCAATCCCGATGAAGGATTGGTACAAACCCTGTCTGTGTGTATGCTGAAATAATTATTTCGGAAAGAAATCTATACCTCGCAGATGCCCACAGGTCTCCAAGCTCCTGACTGTACTGCTGGTCAAAACAGTCCAGTACTGGCTGACATGAAGATCTTGCTCTTTTGTGTCTTTTTGTTACCTGTTACAGAAAGACTGCAGTGAAAATGTTATCTGGAGATAAATCCTAGAGAGGCACGGAAGTAGGCAGCATCCTTAAAGTGAACTCTGACAGCACAACACAGTTTCAATGGAACATTTTCGGAATCAAAACTGTCAAAGTCCTAATCGTGTAAAAACCCCTTAAACCTAAATATCAAGAGTACACATCAAATGACAATATATGCCCTGTTGGAATAAACAATTCAAGTCTTGATATTCTACTTTACATTGTAACGGTCTTACTGTTACAAAACCACTGGAAGAGCTAAAATGTGCATTCTAGTTTAAGGACTTTCCCTTCATGTTCCTGAACACATGGCTGAAAAAAGCTGCTGTCTTTTGTCTTGTTCACTCGCTACCCCTGGTGGACATAAAGTGTAAAATATGTCCCGTTAGTAAGGATTACACACGTTTGGTTATATAGTGTTATTGGCTAAATGTACATGGGGGCTCCATAATCCATACAGGATAAGTCAACATTTGCATCAGGTCCAAAAAGAAAGGCAGTTGACCATAGTTTTCATAAAATACAGCATAGTAGAAAGAAATCTAAAATATAAACAATACCAACAACAAAATGATCAATACTGTGAACAACTTAGCTGAATATTATCCAAATTTTTCATCATAAATTCAGCAAATACATTTTGAGTTAAAATTACTAAACAACATAACTAAGTTCCCAATAAACACTTAACCTGTGCAATGTGACAGGAGCTGGGACAGGAAGTGGCTGCTGTCAGAACCAGACACGGAGACACTAAATCATTTTTATCATACTAATAAAAGTATGTTTACCTGGTTATTGAGTGCCCCTTGTCGCTCGTTCGGTTGTAAAACAACCTCGGGACCAGAGTGACAGTTAACCGACCACAAACACCACGGAGCTGACGGCGTCAGCTTCTTAGTTTTTAAACTAGTTATCCTCCACGTACTGGAAGACTGGTGTATTGAGAACATATATTTAGACATTCGGTTATCTTTTTTTGTTACTGGCTAATTGACATGTCCGAACTGTTGTTGCTCTCTTAACACATCCATGCATAAACCTCGGGCACACATGCGTACGCTTCTCAAAACCGTCCTCCCTCAACTCTGTCTGTCGTTCTGTAGTTCCACCTGACTAACAGCTGGTTTTTGTTGTCTCCATGATTTATTGTTTAGGTAGGTTGTGCTGGTTGGTGTATAAAACACCCACGCTTCGTAAATGCCTCTTTAAATCACTGACTTCAAGAGGTGCTTAATGGGAAAAAGAAATGTCGCTGTATGTGTAATAAATGTTTTTTTTTCCTTTTGTCTAATTTGTGTTATTTTGTCACGTTATTCAGTTCTTCAAAACATTGTGGTGGTCCCCCAGATACTCAAAAATGTAATTAAGACATGGAGGCAATTTGTATCTGACCACTGGTGACCTTTCATTTTTCCAGTTTGAGTTTCTGCCTCACCATTATAATCATGTATCTTTGTGTGAATTGCATTTTTTGTTCAGATAAACATGAAATTTCACCAACTATGTTTGTGTCCAGGCTTAAATGTAGGAAACTTGTTAACTTTGACAACGTCTGCAGAATTATTTTAACCCAAACCAACATTTAATTGTAATGTCATGACTGTCATTTGTTGGACCTCATTTGAGAAAACAAGTGCTTCTATTTCTTCTATTTTGACTGACAGCGACCTTAGGAAAGATAACGTAGAAGACAGAATTAACAGTTATGTGGCACGCTATCACTTTAGCTAACCGAAAGCTAGCATGCTAGTTTACATGCATTTTCACCTGAAACCCTCACTTCCTGAGGGTGTTTGATAATATTTCGCTCACAAAACAAGTTTGAATTTAGTATTGCTGTTCTTCCACTCTTAAGCCAGTTTGTAAGCAGCTTTCTAGTGGTGGTGGTAAGCCTATAAACTACAGCCATAGACATCCTCCTTACTACTTTTCTGCATATGGTGCCTGTTCTGAAGAGGAAGCAGACACACGTTTACTCCTGCATGTCAGATGCTGTTCAGAAAGGTTGCAAGCAGGTGCAATAACTTCTCGTACTGTAATCACCGACGTTGGTCTGGCTGTGGCCACATTTACATTACATTTGCTGTTGGTACAGGTGGCAGCTTCAGATACACTGGGGCTCATAATGTGGTCAACGAGCTGGATCCAAGCACCTGTGCTGATTGCGGCTGTGTGAAGGAATACAACATTCTTCAGTCAAATTGAACACGTCAAATCCACATAACTGACATATACCGCAATCATGGCTGCAAAAGGTAAATATTGTTCTTAAATTTGACAGCTGCCCCCTGTCTGCAAATCTTAAAACATAAAAAATAACCCCACTAATGTTTACAAATGTACAAAAACAAACATGATGAATTAAACATTTTACTTATGTTATTGGTTGCATGTTTAACAAAACATTTGATGAAATATACAATAGAATGGCAAACCTATCATTTGAACTGATTTGGGTCTGCCAGAGTTTCTTACATCAACAATCTTTAGCTTTAAGAACCACCAACAAACACGCATGAGCAACACGATAAGCTGACATTATCGTACCATTCAAGGGCATCTCAAACAGCTAATTTTTATTAACATTGTGATGTATCCCTTTGCAGCAAATGCCTCACTGGTTTACATGGCGAACAGGATAAGGAATGCAACCATCAGACAGAAAAGACCCATAGCTTCAGAGAGAGCGAAGCCCAAGATGGCGTAAGAGAACAGCTGCTGCTTCAGAGAAGGGTTCCTGTTGAGAGAGAGAGGGGCAGCTGAGACACATTGGAGGTACACAATGTTAAAAATACAGCTGCCACGACATTTCAGGCAGCTGACAATCCCAGTGTCTTCCAAGGTTCCCCATGAAGGCCCCGATACATGTTACAAAATAATTCTATCAATGATCCTCGACAATGTTGAACATATTTTTACACTTAAAATTTAAATCAAATAAATTTTTTGACCATGTAAACATTTGGAATCAAGTGTACCTCTGATAGTTTCATAAATATTACTATAAACAAACCATTCAATGTCAGTCAGTGAAGATGTCCTAAGATAGCAGATGTGTTTAATTTACCTGGCATATCCGATAATAAGGCTACCAAACACTGTTCCAATTCCAGCTCCAGATCCAGCCACTCCCACTGTGGCAGCTCCTGCTCCAATGAACTTTGCAGCAGTGTCGATGTCACGGCTCACAGCACTAGTCTGGAAACCCCGCACTGCCACCTGCTGCTGGGAGGCTACAGTGCTCTGTGGTGCCAGGAGTGAAGCAGACTGAAACACACAAAAATAAGTGAGGTTAGAACAAAACAGTAGAGGATCAGAGAGCAGCACTAAACTTTTTTTTTTTCTCAAATATGTAAAAGCTCACTGATATTTTCCTGCCAAGAAAATAACTATAAAATATCAGCAAGGGTTTGCAAGTGTTGCTGCTCAATGTCAGTCACTTTTGTTACCTCATTAGCTGCTGAGGTTTCCAGGTCGGATCGGCTTTATTAACCTGGAATACTAAACATGCTCAGCCAAACTTTGACTGAATCCGTCTCTACTATGTACGTGATTAAAGTAAACACACGTGAACATAGGTGCAGCTTTAAAAAAAAAAAAAAGGTAAAGGAAATGTTGCATAGTGATGCAGAATTGGCATTGAATTTATATTTAGCTCGTGTTAGCCACAACGGATAGCTAGCTAAAGTTGACTTTTGATGCAAATGTCAGCATTTCTTTTGCCGACAAGAAAACATATAATAGTATTCTTCAATAGGAAACATGTTAAATCAACCTGCACTTAAATGCATGTTTTTTTATTATTTGTTTCGTCACTGTATGTGTGTGAGATAAGGTAAAGGGACTAGCTAAGGAGACCGATGGAGTTGTGATAGCTTTGGAGAGCTTCACAGAGTGCCCTTCCTCTGAACACTGAAAGTCAATGAATCAGTTATAATTCCCAGCACAAATAGCTGCTTACCTCGGCTTTCCTGCCATCTGAGACGACTGCTGCTGAGAGTGGTCTGTACAGTACCCGAGATCCAGCACGGATCTGTATGAAGAGGGGAAAAAAGAAGACATTTAGATGACAGTTGTGCACTGGTAAGATGCTATACTTGTCTGTATAGCTTTAAACTTGCCAAGAACACTCTGCTCAAGACAGAATTAAAAGCATGTGTATTCATCTACAATACATTCGACTTGTACTAAATATGGTCAGAGGTGGAAGAATTGTGAGCAATACTACATTATAAAAACACTCCATTACAAGTAAAAGCCCTGCATTCAAATGTTTACTAAAGTACAAATACTCATGTTGAGCTGCCACTGTCAGTGTTATATTATTGGATCATTATTATTGACATATTTATGTGTAAGCAGTCGTTAAATGTTGGTTTTGGTCAAGGTGGAGTTCATTTTAACTTACTTAGTTTAATCTGCCACAATGGGTCATAGTTTGTAAATGACAATGTATTGTACGTAAAATCTTGATTTGAAAAGTAACAGCTCTTGAAAAAGTAAATGAAGTACAAAGTACAATATTTCGCTCTGAAATATAGTGAAGTAGGAAAAGAAGTAGCATAAAATGGAAATACTCAAGTGAAGTTCAGTATCTTAAAATGTTTACGTAAGTACAGTACGGTTACCCGAGGAACAGCATTAACACAACTGATTATGGTAAACGCCAACAGTGACCCACTGTGGTCCGTTTTTAACTGGAGTATGGCTGCTTCTCAATTAACAAAATAATGTCCTTTGATACTCTACTGATTCAGATTAGCTTCAAACGCTGTTAAGGTGTTTCTCACGAGGATACCGCGAGGCTGAGCTTTGCCTCGATGGTGTTCGAAACAAGGACGTCCTTGCAGGTGTGATCACGGACTGTTAGCAGACTTTAGCAGAGGGTCAAAGACGGCTACGTAGCTTCATGCTAGCGTTAGCGAGACGAATTAAAGCTGCTGGTAGTTTGCCCTGAATGCCACCGACTGGCAGCTTTTAACACACTTTCACGATTATGCACAAAGGCAGAATACATGAACGCGTTTACCTCCATTCATTCAGGCAGACTCACTCACCAGAGAGGGCGTGGAGACGAACTTAGCACAGGCATACATGACGACGGGACGTAGTGGTCAGGTCAACCAAAGGAGCTGGCGTTGATTCAGTCTGCTGTCGATAGAAAGAGAAACATTAAGATGATTCATTCGGTTGCCTCTGTAACTAGTGTGCTAAGTAAGAAGGAACAAAGTGTACAAAGTTACGTGGACACACACACACATAAGTAAGGTCAAGATTAGCTGCAAATCGAACAATGTCGCTCAAAAGCAGGCTAGTTTAATTAAAAAGCAGACGAGCTGAGCAGTGCTGCGGTTGGTTGAGCTACAAAAACACCGAGTTAAACACAAGCAGCGCGTTTAAATGTTTAACTCACACACACAGATCGTGACAGAGGAGGTTAGCTCTCACCGGTTTGTAGTTAGAGGTCGAAGACACGAGAAACATGCGCATGCGTAATGTCACGTTAGAGGGGTTGGTTTCCGGTTCCCTGATCTTATACCGTGGATGTATTATAGGAACATACACAATCAGTCCGCATGGACCATCATCGTAGTGCAGCATGTTTAAATGCCTTTTCAATTAAGTAAAACAGGACTGTCCACAGCACACAGACATATTTTACTGGCACTGCCTGCAAAGAGAATATATTATTCACCAGCAGATTACCACAAAAAGCTACTTGTTATTGACTACCCCCTATAGACCATTTGAACAACCATACAGTGTGGTATATATACCCTCAAATGATGCAATTAAATCCAATATACCACAACTAGAAATTAAGGCTTACCCAATTTACCCAAATGTTGAGTCAATACGTTTGCCAAAGTCCCAACAAATAATGTGTGTAAGCTTTACGAAGGTAATTTTCTCTATACTGTCCTATTTGTCCCGCAGAAAGGGTCAGTAATTACTTAAGAATATTAAATTAAATATGAATATAAACATTTCGAAAATGACCAAATGTAAATGTGTATCTTAGTGTAGTTTGTTATCTATATTAGAGGCTGATATATTGACCAATATTAGCCTATTGCAAATACATTCGTGTATGGCTGATAAATAACACGAAATTTC